TTTGCTGAGGTTAACTTCACAACGACAGCCCAGACGGAGCACATAATCTGAAATCATAACGTTAGCTAGCGTCAATCCTTTAAACCGGCATACACCCAATACATAAAACACCAGAGTGAGATAGGTTAATTCAGTTCACGGTACCCTCCATGGCACCGCCGTTCAACATGTTGAACATGTGCAGACCTGAACAGTGGCTCTCACTGATTTGTCACAGGGTTTTCTAAAAGCGTCCTTCGCCGAGTAAATGAGTGTCCAGCGGGCTGCACAGCGTTAAATTGCCGCATTTTTGAATGGCGTTTGGCGGAGCGTTTTCTCCATATGGCACGCATCAGGGCTTTCCGCCCACTCACTCGAGCCTGCTGCAATGTCACAAATTACTCTGCAGAAACTTTCCAAATGTCACAACTACAACATATAACCACAGCAGAGCCGCTGTTACCGGTAACCCTGGCGTAAACGAAAGTTAGCCACCCGTGACCTACCGCGGTAAGCAGTCAGTGGCTCGTGTGTATGTCTCGTTACTAACATCAAACATACCTTAAAACAGCCGAGGTGAAAACGGTGTGGGGGCCTCTGCTCTCTGAGTGGTTACCGTCCAGATAGAGCAGCGTTAGCGGGGATATGTCTGTCAGTCCCTCCGCTGTGAGTGTCAGTCAGTCAGTGACGGCTGTCTGTCTGCCAGTAGGTACCGTACAGTAACTGAGTTAGAGCCGTGCCGGTCTCTCCTGACCCTCCCACCACTCCCAGTCCAGACCAGCGCTCCCACTGTGGACTCACTGTGGCTTCTCCCACTCTGCTGCCTCAGCACAGGACTTCACCTCCTCTAGTGGTTCAGCGGCACAGTCACAGACACTTAGTCATTTCTCTGAGTGGTGAAACGATAGATGGCGTTAATATGCACAACTGACACTTTATGAAGTTTTACTGGGACTCAGTTCCCCTAAAGCCCCCTGTGGGAGTGGTGTGGCAATCCCCCCCCCTTCCTTTTCTTTCACTGGAGGGTAGCAGAGCCTTGTAATACCAGGAAGTCCACAAGGCACCCACCCCACTGCTCCTGCATGAGTGATATGGTTTATTTGAGCCAAGCCACGCACCATGTCGTCATTGTTTTCTCTACACACACCTCACAGCAAATAACCAGACAGCCCTGTTACCTCTCTGTCAAATGCACAAAGAAGTGCAGCTGTCTTCATATCTCCCCATCCTTCACATACTTTGAGTAGTCCTGTACAAATAATGTCCCGTGGTTGGATAAATCCAAGCCCACCAGGGTACCCTACCAAAGCCCCCTTCGTGCTGGGCTAATGTGGAATAATATACAGACACCTCTCATGAGTGGGAGAATAATAACCTGGCTCCTACATATCAAAGCCAAACCCCAGTCGAAAATGTACACATTTATTTCTTTGATACTAATCCGCACACGGACACAAACTGACTGAGCACTCCCTGAACCAGTCAGTAAACCTCAGAGAGAAAACCTCCCATCGGCCACTTTTTTAAAACAAACTTTCAACATTTGCACCTGACTGTTACCTCTGACTGAAAGCTACAGGCAGCGAGTGCTGTGTAAAACATCATTAAAATGGCCAGAAATTTGAATGGAGTTTGGCGCTGCCGGTAGAAACTCATCTTCCCTCTTCAATACAGGGTGTAGCCGGTGTGATTCAGCTGCAAATGACAGCACAGTGCTATTATGAAGTGCTCTCATAACTGGTGATATCACTTTCAAAGAGTTCTCGTACCCTCTACCGTCACCGAGGCCGCCACTGCACCTCCAGACCCCGCAGACAGTGCAGAGCTCCTCCCTATGGCAGGAAGCAGGAGCACTCTCTTCCCTCATAACAACACACTTAGAAATAATATGAGGGTGAGACTGTGGATTGCAATGTTGGCCTAATTCATTTTATGTTCTAAAAATATCTCTAAAGCAGCTTTAATGGAGTCTGGACACCTCCACAGGGGTCCTTGGGGGCAAGGGCGGCTCTAGGGAAATATTCATGGGGTGTTTTTTTAAGGAGTGGCAGACATATATGCTGATTTAATCGCAAACAATTACATATATCAATTGGAAAATCTCCAAATAAAGCTTTTTAGTTTAAAAACATTACATCATTGTGGTGCACTCGTAAAGCACTGAATATAAATATTTAAAAGTGGCATTAGAAAAAAGTCAAGAATAGTCAAAAAAAATGGAGGTCATAAATTCAGCTCTCCCTAACCCAGATTTTCTATTTTCTTCTTCTATTTTTAAATTCAATTTTGTTTTCTGTACATTTAATTTACTATTATAAAGGTAAACAGATTTGTTATATTTTTGTTGTTGTTGGCCTAACAGAATTCATACCATGTGTGCCTATGTGGGGGGGCGACCCTCACATAACAAAGTTTGGGTTTTCAAGGAAAAAAAAAAGAATACTCTACAACAACCTCTCCATTATTTCAGATATTATTGCAGAGTTATGTAACATGTACCGTTCCCATGTGAAGGTGACCTCAACCAGCCGGTCAGCTGGCCGTCAATGCCAGAGCTGGACTGCAATATGGCCGCACTGCCAGAGGGGGGAGTGATCGATTCAGCCTGGGACAGCCCACAACCAATGGCATTCACTGACACACACATACTTACACACACAGGTCGTATCCTGTTGACAAGGCAATGTTGGACAGACAGACTGTACTGGAAAGGCACACACACCTCCATCTCCACCCCAGACCTTTAGCCCTCCCCATTCCACTTCTTTGGAGCCAAGAGGAGGAGACACTGCCAAAACGTAGCCACACACACTTCATCTTTTCATTTGTTTCAGAGCTAATTATGTGCACAATATTTTCTTTGTCTAACATACCAGAACTTCACCTTACTGACTCATTTGTTATTGAAATGTATGTTATTATAATTAAGGGAGAATGAAGCTTTTTCATTCATGTATTTGGAAACTAAATTTCCATTCAAACCCCACGCAATAACATCAGTCATCTTCCCCAGAAATATAGTCAATATAAGACTGTTACAAATGTTAAATGACATACAAAGGTCACAGGGTCTTGGTCACAGATTAGTAAACAATTGATGACCCCGACACACACATCTTTCACACACATCCAGAGACGGAGGGTGATTTGACCTTGGAGGAATGTGGGAAGGGGGAAAAAATGAAGCTGTGTACTGGAATGTCTTTGTCGTTTCCTCCCGTCCAGGCTACAGTACATTCCTCACCTCCCCAATCATCACTGACCAGCACACAGCAGGCTGCATTAACCACACCACATTCTTCTTACTTTACGTCCGGTCCTGTGTCAGCCCCCGCATGTACCAAATGGTACCTTATAGCACAGGAAGATTGATTTTAAAAAGCCCACTCCTTCATTCCTTAGATACTGTGTGTATATATATATACATATATATTAAGCATCAGCTGTCTTTATTACTACACTCCCACATAAGACAGCATCAAGTATGTAACACATTTCAAGATGTTTCAGACCTGTGGATGTCTCTTTTAATTCCTGCATGGAAACATCGCTCATTATACATTAGACAGTTTTCACAGTCTGAGTTCTCCTTATACGTTAAAATATATATAATATATAAATAAAATGACTATTATGTGTAAAATTGTTGGAGTTTCCCTTTCAGGAAAAATTTTTTTAACAATTTTAAACTCCAGCTTTCAATAAATGCTTGTAATGTGGGAATCACCTTGTATGTAGCTTGATCATAGTGGGGCACACGTCTGTTACTTTAGGGACCAGCATGTGGGATTTAGTGACATATAGCGGTGTAGTTGTTAATTGTAACATTGCTGATTGCCTATTTACACATCCAGCAGACGCAGAGCAACATTAGCATTCATTTGCCATGTCATGTTTCTGGCCACCTGACAAATATAAGTCCAATATTCTTGGCTCTCTTTTTAGCTCTGCTGTCTCCAGTCTAGCTGTTTAGCTGCTAAATGCTATACTGTGTTCACCAGCTATTTGCTAGCTTTGTTGTTTACCATTTCGTGCTGGTCGGTAGTGCACAATGCGGTTTTAGAGGCTTTTTTACTTAAAACAGCTGCTGATGCAGGAGATGATGCTGATGAGAGTAGTGAGACTGAACCAAAACAACAAATTCAAAGATGCTAAAAGCACATTGCTGGATCCCATTGTTAATATAACAATATTAATTAGAGCAGCTTTAATGCAACAGCCCGTATGGCTATGAGCAGATTGTGGTCTGTTGAGGCTACAGTCGGTGCAAAAATCAGTATTTCTTCTTCTTCTATAACACAAACATTGACCCAAAATGTCATCTCTATAATTCATACTGTGAGACAGTAATCCTGACTTCTCAGCTGTAGAAGCACTGAACATATCTTTCTGTGATATGAAGTCTGTGTTTGTTCAGTTATCAGTGGAAATAAGGAATTCTAATGAGACCCTGAAATGCAATGTGCGTCATCATATAGTGTTGCAGACTCACATTTTCATACACTTTTAATGTGGAACTGATATTTTATGTACTCTGAACTTTGAACTCTTTAAAGAAGGTTCTATCTGCTCTCTTCAACACTTGCACAGTTCTGTACTGGTGTCTGTAGTTATGCTGCATGGATTTGGCTTTGCATAAATCCCATCTTATTCATGTCAATTAAGTGTTTAAATATCACACTCTGTATGAGTAGGAGTCCACAGAGGCACATGTATAATTAACTATGTGCTTATTATAATTCTGAGAACACTGCTCTGAGGCCAGCGGTATTTAAACTTATTTACTAACCATGGCTGGTCTGATTTATCAGTGCAGTTTACATGACAGACAGTATACTCTGAAGCAATTTACGCTTCTTAAAATATGTTAATGTATCTCAACCTATCCCTGAGGGAGATGAACCCTATAACCTCAGCTGTGTCAGCATCAATTTCTACCCACTGAGCTGAATAAAACCCATCCGAATGAAAGATGAGCGGAAAAATCTGACTCCAGATCTGGCCCCAGTGTGTGAACTGACCTTGCAGTTGTGGCAATAGTTTTCTCCATTTTTCCCCGGAGGAAGGATAATTTCCCCTGTCGGGATCAGCTGGATCCTCAATTCCATCATCATTCCCTGTTTCTTTTTTTCCCCCGTTCCTTTTCTTTAAAGTGAGTCCGTGTTGTTTGGTGCTGTCTGCTCCTCTCGCTCTCCCTTCAAATCCGTTGGCAAATCCGTTAGTCAGGCAGAAAGAAAATGTGCCTAGAAGACTCTCCCAAGAGATACCTGAAAAGGATAAACTGTCAGAGACCTTTACACTCATCAGAAATACTCTCTGCTGCATGCATATGAAGATAAAAGTCTTATCTTTCAGGCGGGAGCTCTTACCTGACAGAGAAATTTTACTTCCTGGCACACAGATCAAAACGTGGAAAGCAGTGATTGGAGTTTGCAAAGCATTGGTGCAGAGATTTGGAGTTGGGGTGTTACCTGTTGCAGAGCGGAGAGTCACAGTGAGGCCAGCTTCCCCTCGCTGCAGCCAGAGGATGTTGCCTCTCTAGCTGACGGATCATGGGGAGGATATGGAGCTCAGCCTGGCCTGAGATGGATGTCACATGCAGAGGATATGTGTCTTTTGTCTTACTGGAGTGTGTGTGTGTGTGTCCATGGGAAGATAGAAGTGTGCGTACTCGTAGGGAGTTGTAAACACATTTGGGTTTCGAGTGAAAATATAATGTCATGCTGTTGATTGTTGATTGATTTTGTTTATTTTAGTCCCAGAGTAATAATAAAGGGAGAGGTCAGCTGAACCCCACCAACCTGTCAGATGAACTCAGCTACTCCCTCACTGCCAGCCCCCGACATGTTCAGTGTGTTCATTTGAACCGCTGTTAACACTTTTCATCTCTAAAAAAAAAAATTACAAGATGTTACAAGATCATTTTTGCACTACTTTTAGCTTTTTCCCTATTTATCCATTACCTTTTAGATAGCTAACTAGCTATATGAACTGTTTATTGATGATTGGTTAAGAATCACTGGTCTATTTCATCTTGTTGTTTTCACTTAGCTATTAGATAATTGATGTGTCCATGTTTTTACCATGGCACACACACACACACACACACACACACACACACACACACACACACACACACACACACACACACACACACACACACACACACACACACACAGGGCAGCTCTGAACAGGGTTTCCTCCTAGAGCCAGCATCCTGCCTCAGACATTCCCAGTACCCACCCTTTAGATTAAGGGTGTGCGTGACGTATGTGTGTGTGTTAGTGTGTGTGCTTCCCTAAGGATATACAAGCAAGAGGCACGCGTATGCACACACTTTCTAAAAACAAATAAGGGACTTGTGCTCTCGTAGCAGTGCACTTCCTGTCCCCATGGACTAGACTAACCAGGGCCTTGACACTCAACACAGACCCACTGGCACACCATAGTGATGGGAACTGTGGTTTCCAGGGTGAAAGGGTAAACTGTGACACTGCAGCCGTACATTTCTGTCTGTATAAGAGAGAAATCTAAACAGCTTCACTCTGGTAGATAAACATCCATCATGTTGGATGACCTTCCTGACTCCAGACACCTCCCTGCATTCCTGTTTGCTCAGCGTTATGGGACACATCCAGTTACTTGTGCGCAGTTTGCAATGTGAGTTTTTTGAACATTTCATCATCATTTTTCGGTTGAAATGTGGCCTAACCATGCAGTAAGGGGGATAGAGAAAACACAGTGTACCTAGGGGTTAGGACCTCCTAAAGAGGTTGCACATCAATCTTAGGGATTGCCATGTGAGTGTGCCTTGTCCCACTCCTGTGGCCTTATTTATTGGCATGTTGTTAGATGTCGAGCCATTCTATATCTGTGCTTTAGGAAGCCATACTGGAGGCTGACAGAGCTTTGATAACACTGACTGACAAACGCCTAAATTGCTCAGTTAAAGTGGTAATCCTTCAGATTGGTAAAGTCTGTTGATTTGGCAACACCCATGGTTACTGTGGTAACAGTAAGTGTGGTTTAATACTACAGGAAACACTTGTTGAGCAGATACAACAGAAATACAACAGGAGAGCAGCTGGTGTATCTGTTTACAGTGCAACCAAACAAACTCATTGTTTCAATAAGGAAGTCAGTCAATAAAAATTGCAAGCAGTTTGATTTCATGGTGTGAGTAGTTTTCTACACAACAGCATTATACAACAGGAGTTTATTACCTTCAGAGGTCTTCAGCCTGTTTCATTACTCAATATTAAAATGATCTGCTGTCAAAATAAATGCAGAAAGTGCAATTTTGTGGCTAACCCTATATATACTGTCAATGGGCTAACCTCAGTAAAAAACACATTGTGTTTCCTGTGGCTACTTCACAATGAAACCTCGTTTTTGTCCAGTTGGACACTGTTAATGTGAAAACCAGTAACAGACTAACTGCCTTTATTTTCAAAAATATTACAATATTGAATTTAGTAGTGAAGACAGTTCTTCCTCTCCACTTCATAATGGACCTTCCTGATGTTGCCAGATGTGGTTGCTGGGAGATTTATGATGCAGCTGCAAAGCCTTAATGATTTTTGCTTAAACGGAAATGTAAACAGGAGTCGACTGTATGCACCTATTTGACTAGTTTGGACATGGTTTCCATACAGGATCTTGATCATATTTTTACATTTTATTTTTGTGTGACTTTTACCAATATTCTGACTTTAAAGTAGTAGTACTTTGGGAGATCATGTATAAAAAATATTTTCACTTGAAACATATCTAGGTGAAGATACATATTAGACAAGCAGCAGTAGATACGTGCTTTGTCTGTCTTTCGCTGTGAGCGTGGCACAGGATTTGTGTGGAGGGGCATCACAGGCTGCTGCTGAGAGAGGGGAAGCGACAGTGACACACATCCTTTGACCTCTGACCCCAGCTGGAGGCATTCCTGACAGCATGGCATCAACAGGAAATCTATGGCCTTGAAACACGAACACACACACACACACACACAAGCACACACACACGCTCCAGCAGCCTCGCAGCAGACATGCCTCTGCCCGGTTCTATTCTGAAGTAAGAACACATAGTTTGGAAGTGATTGCCTCCAGGATAAACACACACTCCTCTTGCTTCACATAGAATGAAAGTGAAATGAAACAAGATCACAAACACACACATCATTTGTCATGAATTAATGGAGGATTTTTTTTTACAGGAGTGTAACTGAACACATACATTCTTTTCTTTAGCTGTAAAGTGATATTTACAGTGGCAGACAATCATGTTCATGTATTTGGTGGTTTGTTTTATGGTTTCCTTCTAGATACCTGATGCCAAAAACAATCCTAATGATGAGGAATTTGAATGCAGATGACGTATGCTTTGGAAAAGACAAAGTTCCTCTACAGTTACTGTAAATTCATGTCACAGAACGGTTGTAAAAGCACTTGTTTTCCTACTTTCCTGCCCAGATCATCCCATCTGTTATTATACAAACAGATTACACTTCCTTTCCCTCGCTTTCTGTTGCCTTTGAGAACTCTCTCAGGGGTTACAGTAGTGGAAGAGAATCCTTTTTCCTCGTAGTGCTGCATTTCAATAGAATCTTTTATTTACCGTGCGTGTTGTGTGTGTCAACGTGTGTTTCCTTTAATTCAACAAACTGAAGATGAGTCACGATGAGACAGGGAACAACCTGGAAGTGCAAAACACAAACCACACACACACACACACACACACACACACACACACACACACACACACACACACACACACACACACACACACCCTGTAATGGGGCTTTTCAAGGCCCATATTTGACTAACACTACCAACAGCTGTGATAACAACAAAAACTCTAATAACAATAATTAGACCATTTTAATTCCAGGGTGGCTTGAACTACTAGAACTGGCGAAAATGAAATGAAATAGTGTGATTTTTAATCCTTCTTTATGTTTTATTATTGCAGAGCCTGAAATTTGAATAGTTTATTACAAGCTTAAGTAAACAACATTGTGCATAAAATATAGTACATATGATTATTAAAACAAATAAATGATCAATTCTTTCATTACAGTCGCATTCATTATTAATAAAATATTAAATATATATTAAAACATTTACCTTATTATGTCCGACCTACGACAGCATTTTTGGGCCCGAATTTGGTTCAGGCACAGATTAAAGCTCCGTTCTGACGCACTTGTAACTTGGAGTAGCTGAACTAAAACAATGAATACATCTGCATTCTGAGTCAGTTATAACACCTGCATTACCTGTGGTGATTTAGAGTGTGAAAACTCAAGCTAGCAGTTAAATAAACACCTTAAAATCACCCCTGTTTGTGAGAGATAGAGAGAGGTGGATTGTGGGTGCATAACTGCATGCTCATCATACACAGATCCACTGAAACACACAGAGCAATGTATGTTTGAAGGGCGTGGGGCAGGACAGAGCAAGCTGTAGTTCACAGGTTCATCCTGCTGTATATTTGTGGTACAGTCCTGTAACCAGATCCCACATGGAGGTTCAGCCCAGACCAGATCAGACCAGGGCTGAGTAAATCTCACAAGTGTTGCCTGAAAATAACCCTGGCTATTTATAACAGCTGTCTCTGCAGCAGAAGAGGAAGTTCATAATATTTCATTGACGTTTGTTCCCTGGGTCGTACTCTGCGAGCAGTAATCTTGCTCCGACAACAGAGCACCGTGGCAGTTTCCAGTTTCCACAGGAAGGCAGAGGAAGCTAGAGGACGCCGATTAGGCTGCAGATGTCGAAGAGGAGACCGCTGCCTGTACACGCCCTCTGGAGAACAGGGTCTTCAAATCCTAATGAATGGAAAGTTAAGTTGTTGCACCTTGTTCCCTCACAGCACATCCACCACCATCTCCTGTGGAAATTAGAGTTAGAGTGAGTGATGTATTTCAGATTAGCTGGAACTTGCTGCCCTCTTGAGGTTTCATGTTACAACAGTCTGCTCAGTGGTGGAGAAACCATAAGATGCCATGGTAACCCGTCTGTCAACAAATCCCCAACGGCTCGTGCAGGTCTGTTAGTGTGTCAGCTTTTTAGTTTCGCATCACTGAGAACAAGTGGTGCAGCATAACCTGACTGAGCGAAATCTCCTTTAACTGTAGATAAATACTGAAGAACCCCTGTACAAAAGGCCCATTAAAGAGCTTTGAACCAGGTTCTGTAAAGCACTGGCTCCCTACCTATTTGGTCTGGTGTACCAGAGCCCTGTCAGATGAACTCAAGTATCCTCACTGACACTACCCGGCGTGTTCCAGATGTCACAGATGTGTTCATTTGAACTGCTGTTAAACAGTACGTTATGTAATACTATCAAATAGGCTATGAAAAATAATACACAGTTTAAATCATTCATCCACCATATTGAGCTTTTCATAATGGATTCAGTTCTTTTCGCTATTTGTTTATCCATTACTTTTAGCTATTTGAACCATTTATCCATCATGCCTACTTTTAGTTACATATTTGAAGTGTTTACTATTACTTTTAGCCATTTGTCCATTAGACCTATTCCTAGCTAACTATTTAAACAATTTATCTATTTACTATTTGGACCATTAATCCATTACTTTAGGCTAACAATGTACAGGTTTATTCATAACCTTTAGCTTACCTTAGATATCTAGTCACTTGCTAATATAGTTTTCACAAATGTTTGGGTTGCCTACGACTGACTCAATAGGTGGATTTTAAAAAAATAATTGTAATTTTCTCAAATCAACACTCCCATAACACTCTGCAGCACCATGTTTACATAAACCATATATGAGGTTGTAAACCAATCTATAAAACACCTAATATCACCACATGGTGTGAGTGTATAGTATTACCTCTTGTAGTATCTTCTTGTTTTGCAAATGTGTGAAAAGTGTCTGGCCTGGTGTGAAAATGATGATGCAGAGCAGAGATATGGAATAGATACACTGAATGCGAATCAAATGAACATATGTGACAGGGAGAGAGACCTTCTTACCTGGCAGCAACCTTCACTATAAAGGCAGATCGAACTGGCAGTTCTAAAAGAGAGAAAAGAGATATCAATAAATTATTAGTTAATTTATTTGAAGACAGTATAATTACTGAAATGAAAGAGATCATTAGTAGCTTCTACTCAAGGCCACATGATCAATTGGGCAAAGCAAGCAACTGTGGGTCCCAAAAGCCCCGGGTTTACTGTCTGTCTGTTGATTTCTTGCACGTTGGTTTAATACTAAAGCAGCCAGTAATACAGCAGTGTAGTGGTACTGGTTGGTGTCTGGTTCTCTGGGCAAAATGTAGGCCTAATGACGCTGCCATCTACAGTGTAGTGTGTTCTGTGCACGGTGCTTGATGGGAACATCGCCAACTGTCGCATCGCAAATGTTTGATATCTTTTTTGTGCTCCCATTTATCTCAACACTGGCCCCATAGTCTGGCAATAATAATGCCAAGCTGTCACGGTTAATCTGTGAATGACATATCAGTGGTTTTCATTTTTAAAAGCCTTTGCCATGGGGGAGATTTACTACCAGAATAGTGCAGCAAACAGATAGAGCTGTGTTAGTCGTATTGCATCTTAACTATTAGCACAAAGCACGAACTACACCCAGTTCTCAGTCACAGATATATGATCTCCAGCCTGAACCTCTCTACTTCTGGTCATAAAAGCACCTCATTACACAACGGCATTATGGAGTGATTTGTGGTAACATCCTCTTGTTGTGTGCGTTTGATTTGATCTGCAGAGGGCGCTAGAGGAGCTGCTGCACCATCATCTATCCAGTCTAATAGCTGTATGAAGAAAGAATTGCAGTCTAGTTCTACACTGCTTTTAATTTATATCTTTTGGAGTATGATCGATGATGAGTATGATTACTGTACTATAAGGATTTGAGCTAATCACTGGTAAACCCCACCCTTAGTAGGAGTAAGGGCAAGATGAATGTAACTGTAAATCATAATAATTAAATCATTTTAACTCATTTAAAGGTCCAGTGTGAAGGATTTAGTCCTATCTACCGATGTAGATTGAAACTCAATTATTTCATGTTCCCATTCCCTGCAGCCAGTGTGTCCGTTCTGGGCTGCTGTAGAGACATGGCGGCTCAACATGGCGGACTACATGGAAGGCAACCCACTGCTTTTCTGACTTCGGAAAGATGCATCTGTCCTTCCATTATCTTCAGATTTCCATGTCTGCCTGCACTGATTTCTCCCAGAGGCCCCGCTGCCTCAGGCTAGGGATATTATGTACTCTATACACATTACAGAGCTTCGTTTGTGAGACAAGGACGAAAGGTTTTAAAAGGTTTGACAAGGACAGAGATGGCCTTGTAATTCATGTCACATCCTTGACATTTTGCTGCCACTTTCTGCTTGACTGTAAATCACTATAATCACACTTTTTACCGTATGGCGAGGGAAAGTAGACACAGCAGCTACAACGAATGGGCTTCATGAAGTCCTACTGAAAAAGACCCGTAGCTCTGTGATGCTCACTGTAATGAAAACCAAGCTATAATTAGACAGATAACCCAAAGTCTACGACCTGATCGTTAAAAGTCAGGCTAAATGAAGTGAGAGGATCACCAAAGGTCAAAAGGACCATGAATGTCTGCATCAGATTGGATAGAAATCCATGCAATCGTCATTGAGACATTTCACTCTAAATCACAAATGTCAAGCTCTTGGGGGCGCTACAGCAGAAGTTAGTGGATCAGTAGCATTCATCCTCTGGGTACCTTGAACGTCTCAATTCCGATCTAATGGGTGTTGAGCTATTTCAGTGGTGGATTGACTGACAGACCAATTGCCATCCCTAGAGCTTTGCTGGTATCTGAAAGGTCAGAGGGTCAAAATACTACTGCTCATCCTCTTGGAAGTACGAACATACATAACAGAAAATATATATCGGAATGTATTATTTATTATATCATGGAAGTTCACCACAATAGCAGAATGAGGATGTCACAGGAGAAATGGAAAGCACTCATCCTCTGTGAAGTGTTTAGTAAATTTTAAGGTAATAGTTTTGCTAGGTAACAGGTCAGTTTCCTCCGCTGAGAAGCATGAAGCATTCAAAGCAAATGTAACTGAAATTGAGTAACTTGATGTTCTGACTTTGGTTTAAACAAAATGGATCTGGGGAACTGAGGGTGAACTTGCTGGGAATGAAGAGTGTTAACCTTCATTGATTCAGGAAGAGAAGGAATATAAATTGATTTGAGGCAGACTTTTTTTAATCTTTGGGGAAGGTATCAATTATTTTCAAGTCAAAAGGCTCAAGACCAAGTGAAGTGATGAGTCACTGCTGTCACTGGTGTTTAAGTCCAAGCTGAGTTGAAAGCCTTCTTTTTTCATGTTAAGTTAAAGTCACCAAATGTGTGTCTACCTCTGTCCGTGGGCCAAAGTGTGTGAGACTCTTACCTGACAGCGGTGCTCCATGAAAGGTCAGGGGGTCATCCAGAAGGATCCTAATGGGGTGTCTTGATCAGTGTTGCTCCTCAGCAGGAGACGCAGGCAACTGTCATGCAGCTGCAGCAGTGCAGGAAGGAAGTCATTTTGACTGGCTGGTAGTGCATGCTGCACACTGACTGGCTCCTCCACTTTCACCTATGAGTCTAAATTTAGGCCAGGCACTGAGCTCAGGCTGTTATTATGGGTGATGTAACAGTAGAATAGGCTGCAACTGCTAGAGGTTACAAGCAACTGAAACCAGGGAGGCGAAAGGTTAAGGCCCCCCCAGAATGAACACGTATGAGTGAGAGCTGGAAAAAGGAATAGCTTAAGAAATAAAGGTGGGTTTTATGAGCACACACAGTCAAGATAATGGCGTGTATTAGTCACTGGTCCATGATAAAACATGGTGGCAACACAAAACAGTAGTTTCAGCCACGCAGACATATTCTGTGAGTGTTGATGATGACTGTGTGAGTGTCACCAGACATCTACCGGCCCCATCAGCTGCTTACACAGTAGCAGCAGCTACAGTCACAGAACCACAGGCATTAAGATTGCATTTGTCTCTCAAACACTATAAATAGAACATATAAATTTATCATTACACTCACAGTTGCTAACTCAGATTCCAGCAGCAGAATCTGCTCTGAGTTCAACACTGTGCTCAGGTTCACCTAGTTTGGGGGTTTCAGTATTGAGACTACATTTATCAGTTTTTAAAGAAACAGCCGTGCTTACGTATGCAACTCATTAGAACAAGGTTGCAACATTAATGTTAACAGCCTGCAGTGTCTACACAGGACAGTTTTATTTGATTCAATACTGTGTATGAACAGTTCATGAATTATATTTGTACATCTGTGCTAAAGGCAAATAAAATAATAAACGCAACAAGTGAGTTTGTAATGTTTAATTTAGATTGTTTAATGTTAATTCCATGCTGTGTTTCAGTAAGAACAATACAGATTCCCTGTCTGTGGCTCCAGTCAGATATCCAGTAGTACAAATCAGCTCCAAGTTACACATAATGAAGCAAAACAAGAAGAGAAACAAAGGAAACAGCATAGAAAGAAAACCTCTGAACCTTGAGGAGCTTTAGTAAAAAGTAGGGGAGAAGCAGCAGAAAAGAATATGTGTGAACTCATGCAAGCTTTGACAATCTTGATTTAGGGCTCTATGTCGAGCAGCGGGGCCAAATTGAGACTTGTCTTTTACACGAGTGAGAAATCTCCCAAATATTTTGCTTAATTAAAACCACCAGCTAGAGATAAGTCAACCTTCAGAGATTCAGCATGTGTGCACAGTTACAGTATTTCAGCACAAAGTACAGTCCAAGGACAACTACAAAAACATGACAACAGAATCACTATGGTGTAAAAGTTAAGCACTTCTTTGCCCCACATGGATATCGCGAATTTTGCCAACTTCCTCTGAAAACCTACGTTAACAAAAAGGGCACTTGTAGTTTTTTCCAAACTGCCCATAAAAAGGTAAAATGATTTGCATGACAATTCACTAAAAACAGAGATAAAATAGCTCCCATAACTAATAGTCGACATTATCAGTAATAAAAGTTAATTTCTGTAATTACATTAAGAAAAAAAAATTCTCAATACATCCAGCAACTGATAAAAATATTGAAGAAAAAGCAAAAACAAACAAAAATACAATAATGAAAACAAAGATAACATTTCAGAACCGTTTGTACCAGGACAAAAACAAAAAACAATAACAATAACAATAACAACCCAGGGACTCTTTACTTTCTTTGACTTTCTAACATTGTATTTCCTGCCTCAATTAAGTGGTATTTACTTGAATGATGTAAGGGCTAATATAAAAATAAAAAAGAAGAGAAAAATAAACTTGTTACCTCCACGGCCCTGCTGGGTCATGGAGCTGCAGAGGTGGAAGAAAGGAAAAGGAGGAGAGAGGAGGAAGAGGAAGGTGACTCACAGAAAGGGAAGAGGAGTTGGAGGGGGGGAGGGGGCGGGAGGATGGAGGAGGACGAAGGTGGGGGGGGGGGGAGAGGAGTGTGAGGAGGTGAGGGGAGGGTCTCAAGTTGTTGGCTGTAGGTGGCATAGTCTCACTGGGCCTCGTCCTCAACGTCTTGCAGTGCCTCTTTGTTCTGTTCTTCACCTGGTTGAGAGAGAATACAGGTCAATGTTTGTTCAATGGAAACCCTGGAGATCCAGTTTGGAATCTGGCCGTGAACAATGCTAGGGACAGTACTTTCTATTTCAATAAAAAACTAATGAATATTGAAGAACAGTAATAAAAGAGCTTGACCCCTTTTTGTCTTTCATTTCTATCACTGAGCTGTGTTTGACGTAAGAGGACCTTGTTTACCAGTGCTGGTATTCAGAGCCTTAACTGAACTAACACTACTACATAATATAAAAATGGCTTATTTGATGGCGTTGCGTCACAAATAAATAGAGAGGTTAGTACTGATGCATTAATGTGCAAGTAGTAAGGGCTGAAACGAACAGTCATTTTTCATTTATTCATCTGTTTATTATTTTCTCAATTAATTGTTTGGTTTAGAAAATGTTTCCCATTACATTCAGTTTACTGTCACAGAGGACTGAAGAAACCAGGAGATATTCTCTTAAAAAAACACTACATGATTATCAAAATCAATTCATTTAATGGCTGACAACTAATCTATTAATTGACTGTTGGGCAGTTTAATTTGGAATATCCACAATGTCAGTCATTTCTGTCTATAACAGAGTCCTAAAACATCCTTTTCTTAAAACAAGTGAAATGTCAACCTGTTTGTACTGAAATCAGCTTGTTTTAAATAATGTGGTAGAGATGATTTTATGTAGCTTGAAACTAGGAAGAATAAGACTGACCACTGGAGTTATGAAAATGGAAACCAGATTTTACAAAATACTTGTACCAAGTTGATTTGCTTTGAAAACTGGTTAAAATACTCTTACAGCACCAACACACTTTTTCACTTTTGTAAGAAAATACAATATCAAGGACTCAATTACAGACTAAAATGACTGGATGAGAAGATAGATTCATATTTCATAAACTGATCGTCTTCTATAACTATAAAGTCTTAATCTGCTATGTAACTATAGCTGTCAATGTAGAGGATAAAGTTTACAATATTTGTTTTTGAAATGTAGCGAAAAAAGTACTTTGTTATTTCTACCAGTGCTGGTGAACAGCGTCTTCAACTTCAACAACTTCCATACGTGATGAATACCTGGGTGAAAATCGATTTAAACTGACCTGCTACTTTTTCAAGTGGACATCTTTCATCATCACCAAGAAACGTCAGTGAAAATGCATGCTGAACCCAAACGTAACTTTCACCGGTGTTTGGGGTTGAGTGAAATGTGGTATCAAATTGTGTATCACAGCCACTTATTCAAGTACAGTGATTAGAAAACAGACAGTGAACACTTAACAGAGTGAGAAACAAAAACTCCAAATACAACCAGAGTGATCAAGTTGAGCTTTAACACACAACCTCACACATGCACATACACTGGACAACTTCATCATGGTGTTTTTAGCAGAGAAGAGAACAGATTTGAACTGCATCGTGTTTTTTTTTGCGGTCCTTCCCAGTGGCTGCATGTGTTAAAATGGTTGACAGTAGTAGTACAGAGTGTGCAAGCTGTCTAGCATACCAATAACATGATCTAAACCTCTGCTCCTTGGTGTACATTAGAGTTCAACTCTGAACACTCACACTCTATACAAACAAAAGTCAGCCTCAGCTATCTAAACTCAAGAAACCCTGTTTAACTGACTGTGGTGGGAAGGTCAAAGATGAGTTAATAAGAAATCCCAACCTAATGAGTGAGCAACAGGTGAGTGGACTCAACTGTTAAACCGTGAGTGAGTTAGTGATGAGAGGAAACAGGAGGCAGCCACACACACAGCAAGGCTTGGGTGAGCAACACTTACAAAGTACAGTTAACATGGGAAATGAACAGTCAGGTTTGATTCCTTTAGGACTCTACAGCAGAGGGAATGAGAAAAAAGACAAGAGAGATGACGAGTCACTGGGAAATAAAAAGGTGCCGGTGGATGCTCTGCGACACAGCAAACTGCTGCAATGTATGGAGGAAGAGCAAGAATGAATCAAATAGGGCTCAATGATTTATCAGTCATTTATGGAAATCTAGATTTTATATTTTATATCAGAAGAGCTGGGGTTTGATCGAACTTAATCAACAGTGTCTCAACAAGTTGTAACTTTCTAAAGACGCTATAAAGACCGCAGTCTCTGGCAGATTTATTCAGCTGTAGCTTAATGTTGAAACAACTAAA